TTCTTCTACTGTTCTTCTGGTGACCCTGAAAAGTCGTCTGTAAAGTGCAACTACCTGAACTGGTGCGTATTTACATTCAACCTCTGATTTTTCCAATGAAATGGCTACCTTCTCTAATGCTGCAGTGAATAACGTTGGTGATGGCGCATCACCGTCGAACCCCTTTTCGAATTTGTACAAACTTGTGCTTTCTTGCAGTTTTACATTAACAGTTGCGCTCTTGAAAAATAACTTCATTTCCCATGACCGCTACTAATCTCCGGTAACGGGGGCAAGCACGTCGACACACCCACGTTCCCGATCTTGTACCAGCGTCTTAGCTTTAGCACAAGAAAACCAGAGTCCAGAGTATACTCACCCCACATTATACCAGGAGGCTAAAATTGGCCGTCCCATTGGCTTTCTGTCGGTCCGCCTGAACAGCCAGTAGTTAGTTCGCACTATGTTTCTGGAGGCATCGCAACACGTGCCCAGAATATCACAGCTGTGACGTTTTAATTTTGAGAAGTCTCGGCTATATCTTGAGGCTCTTTAGGATATCTGTTCCTGATCACTTCGAGGCGCATAAGGCCAGCGACTCGTCTGAGAGAGCCCATTTCAGTCGTTTGCACACGGAATCGAAGTATTTCAGTCATGTCCCACGACGGACGACCTAGGCAAGCATGGGGATCAAGATCGCTTGAACACTGAAATCTTAGTGTTCAAACTCGGTTCTACTTTAGTCACAATAGCTCTGACTATTCACGTAGAACAAAGGCTACTCCAATCCGCCAGTTGACCTCTTATTTCTTCCTCAAATTTTCCATCACCATTAAGCACGACTCTGAGGCACTTGAACCTCTCCATCTGCTCCACAGCTTGCCCGTTTATTTGGAGAGCAACGCTTAGGAAAACTAGAAAGCACTAGACTTTTCGTTTTAGACGCGTTCACACGTATGCCGACCACGTCGTACTCGGCTGCGAACTTTTTAAGAGAGCGCTGCAGATGAATTTCAGAAGATACCAAAAAAACAGGGACGTCTGCAAACAGAATTCTTCTAGTTTTGACATATCTTACGCTCATACAATCATTGTTTTGCCTGCGCCTGATTATACCATCGATCTATAACACAAAAAAGAAAGGCCAGATCACATCCTTGACGCAAACCAGTGTCAACACTGAAAGATTTCGACCTAAAGCCATTTACTGATGCAGCACCTACTATCAACATATAGTGATTGGATGACCCGTAGAACTATCCATCGATGCCATACGTTCCCAGACATGTCCTCAGACTGTTGCGCAAGATTCAGTCGTAGGCTTTCTCTGGGTCAACAAAGCACAAGTCCATCAGATGGGCGATGGGTGTTTGGCAGACATGTGCAAGTACCAGATGACGTGTACCCTATTGCTTGGCGCATTTCAGGGCTGATTTCATTAATTCCAGCCGCGATTCCACTTTTCAAGCATTTCACTTGTGTAATTTTATTTACAGAAACAGTAGTGCTTGCCCCCTGCCGCTCTACAGTCGAGTCTTCCTACGGTAGCTACGGGTTAAGGAGTACTTCAAAGTACTCTCTCCATCGCTGAAAAATGACTTTATCCTCGGTAAGACCACAAAAACATGACCTTCAGGATTTTTAGACCGCCCTTCCTTTCACATCATAGGTGACGGATGTTCTGTCAAAACAATTTTCGGTCCGAAAATTTGATTTCAATACCTCTCCGAACGTTTCTCAGGAACCAGTACTGGCTTTCGTTGCCCCTTCACGTGCTTCTACATATTGTATGTTGGTTCAAGGCTCTTTGCTTCCCAGCCATATCTTAAATGCAACATTCTTCTCGGTGACCTGTGCCGGCTGTGTCTCGCGTGTCCCTCAGGAAGTCGTTTCTGATCTCCAAGCGGCATGCAACCCATTTGAAACCGCAACATTCCGTTGAAGCCGTACTTGAAGAGCACCCACTAGGTTTCCACATTATCAGCGGGATCTGTTCAAACTATCGTGCGATGCTGTTTGCAAATTTCTCTTTCGTGTCCACCGAAGACAATGTTTCCCATTTGATTATCCGGTTGCTTCTGCCACCGGATCTTCGTATAGTACTCCATTTTTTACAGCGCAGCTTGCCAACAACAAGGTGATGAC